TAGTACACATGTTCACTTTAACCAAGTCGTATCAACCGCAGCCAGTTGTTAAGTGGAACTAAAACAAAAATACTGATGCAAGTGAAAGTTTGGTGTATATGATAATATTAACATTTTAACATGAAATCGAGGTTTTCAGGGTCTTTAAATCAAAGCTTGCTAGTATTTACCTAGGTCTGTTATCATTACAGACATTCAATCCATGCGCTCGATATGTTGAAGAGAAGCCTAAAGGTTTTATTTTAGAAATCAGCAGTTCTCCGAAAAAGTAAAAAAAAAAGATGAATTCTTTTTATAGACACTTGGATGTTATGAGCATAATATCATTGGTTTCACTAATGGTGAACGCCATACATTCTCCTCAGCAACTTAACCCCTGGTGTATGTTGATTGAGGTTTGTGTTGCTCCTGGTGTATGTTGATTGAGGTTTGTGTTGCTCAAACTTCAGTGTTCTTTTCTTTTTCTTTTGACTACTGTGTCTTTTGTCTTCTCTTTTTCTTCCAAAGTTGTCCCATTGGATTCATGATTTTTATGCCACTTGTTTTTTTTTTAAATGGTCTATTAAATCGAACTTTGGTAATTAAAATAAGTCCATGTGGTTTCATTGACATTGCGATAACTATGCACCACAAACCAAAGTTCAAGAATGTAAACAACCATACGGTCTCCAACAATAAGCAAAACCCATAAAAGAAAACAGACGTCAACTACTATAAAGAGATCTATGAACAACAACCTCATAGAAATTTGGATGTGATAACTAATTTGTAACAAGATTTCTGCAGGTACGGTCATACTTCCAAGCAAAGGCTTTGCATTTATAGAAGAATTAAGTGAAAGTTAAAAAAAATTGTAAAAAAATCCCTAACTTTAAAATTTTCCAGATTTACATCATTGAAATCCAAGACATCACTACAATCGCGAAATAGCGAACGAGTTTGGAAATAAACATACCGTAAGATCAACAATCCCATAAAGAGGGAAATTTAAATATGAAAAAAAGTCTCTCTCATTATAAGTTTAAGTAAAGAGTATTATGGAACAATTTCAAATAAATTTAGTTTTTCTGTTCATACTAGACTTACTTTTGAAGTCAGCTTCCATGGGTAACTATCTGCAATAGAAAAGTCTGTGTATTTAATTTGTTATATTAAAATTGAGGATTCAAACAGATTATGAATTTGTCCATTAAATGTGATTCTAAACATTACAGGAACAAATTCATTTTTTAAGTGACAAAAAGGACTACACACAACCTGTCGATAAACTTAATTGCCGAAAACTTTTAGTTGTCAACGAGAAAAATCAAGAGCTTAAATCGTCGCATCACAGTTCAAGTAAGTTTATCTTGTCAATTGCATATTTATCTTTTTTAAGTAAAAAAGTCATAAGTATCAACGGGAATTAAAAGGACCACTGATGAGCACGTAATTTATCTGAAATTCAGTTTTTTAACACTTCAGAAATAAATAGTGATTCCATAAGCTATAAAACACGTAATTATCTAAAATATCCAAATAGATTTTTACACTTCAAAAATATACAATGTTTGCATATACTTTTAAAAAAAAAATCATAGAAAGTTTTTTTATTATAATTTAAAAGCACAGAAAGATTATTTAAAATAATCAAATACAAAACAGCAATCTAAATAGGGAAATAAATACTTATTGGTTCATTTGTATTTTGACGCACCAAATTTATAAAATATTATTTTCATTTTCATTTTCAAACTTGATTATAGTCAGATTAAAAAGAACAAAACAGTGAGTAATTGCTAGCATCATGTCGCATGAATAAGAGATTTGAAAAAAAACTTATTTACGACCAAGAGTCGTGAATAAAAATACCAACTTCAGGATTTGGTAGAAACGAGAACTTTTGAGTTTATTAAAGTATGCTGAACAAACCGAAAAACTAAGATACATAACTATTACCTATGTTCACTGGATGTTATAAAATTGGATATACCACTGCTTTTTATAAGACTTATTTTTACAGAATTTAATTTTCTAAGCCTGCAGTATTTGGCTCTTTATCCAAACTCCTGGTTTTAAGACAGGACAGGATTTTGAAAGAAAAACGTAATTATGCAAATAACAAGAAGAAATTAAGAACGCCATTTTAATCATCTACCACCAACTTTTAACATGTTCTTTGCCCTTAATAAAATAATTTTTTGTTTAAATGAAACCGACTGACTATAAATTGCATATAGTTCCAATGTAAATCAACATCTATCAGATTTTGCACTTAATAATTTGAAACCAAAATGGTAAAATATCAATCTAAGAGTTTTGATAAGAAATTATGATAGCATTTTATTAGTATATAATGCTTGTAGAGATACAGTTACCCCCCCGAAAAAAAACATAACCGAAACAAAACCAAGCTTTGGTACTACAATAGACTTCCAATGCTAATTTCATATTGTATACAAAGGGTGACAATTCAGTCTCAATTATATAAAATAATGTTTAAACTATATATATAACCTCAACCTGAACAGTTTTACATTACTACTGAGTATGCTTTAGGAGCGAAACCTAATTTATGATCTCATTCCTTTCTATTAATCCATGATTTTAAGTACACATTGCTCTTCAACAAATTGACAGTCCATATACCTTATTTTACCTGGTTTGGGCTGGTTGAAAATATATATTTAACTGCATTTACGAGTGCACTGGTTCCTGCAGGTTCTGAAATACAAAATCGTAGAAACTGGGAAAAGCTCTTTCAATTTCATACTCTATATTATCTAACATAAAAAATCATATAGGGTTCTAGACTGGTCATCGATCCTTAAACTTTCATTTGATACAAAAATTGCGCAAATATTTTACATGTTTTAAAGTAATGCGTAGGAAATGTTATTCCTGAGTGTTCTTTCTGACAGGGCCCTGAATAAGAATCGTTTTAATGGAATAGTTTTCTTGTATAAATATGCTGCCTCTTGTAATCAACTAAGATTAGTTGGCTCACTGCATCAACTATACTTTTATTAGGCAATGCTGGCCATCTTGGTTGGTCTGCAACGAAAACAATATATTCACTGGAAGGGTGCTACTAGAGGTTATTTCAGCACGTTGCAGAGTTTCAAAACAATACAATTATTCATATCTAAGCTGTATTTATAGACCCAGTGAAAAAAATAAATCAAAATATAATTTTGTGTTTGCTTTGAGTGCGGTAAGTCGTCGTATCGATCCACCACCATGTCAAACTGAAAGGCAATAGCTAAGTCTTGCAATCCTCCACTTCTTGGCTTACAACCAACTATATTTTCGAGGTGGATTGTTGGTGGCTTAACAAACATTCCCGGAGAAAAGACAGGAATCATTATTTTTATTAGCAATAGAAAGAGTGTACCAAATTCTATTTATGGAATAATTTTCTATACATACTTGTGCTATCACTGAATTGGCATATATGACTCACCTATAGCAACATTAATCACAGGTAATGAAAAAATTTAATAACAATATCCTACATACAATCATTTATATAAGCTCTTTGATTAATCCATATTTATCCTAACTCCTATTGGAATTAGCAAATCTTTATTTTTCTTTTTCATCAATAAAATTGAAAAGCATAAAATATATTTTACAACTTCAATTTTCTGGAAATCCAACGGTAGACAGAGAACTTCTCCAGGCGGGTAGTAAAATATTTGCTTAAGTTGGGCGTTCCTTTGGTTGTGCAGGGTGTATAAATATGCATTCAGGTCAGATCAGAATGAAGATATTAAATCTGATGCCTCGTTGCCAGGCAAAAAGTCTTCCACAATATAACATACCCTCATTTACCAGTGGCAAGCCTAATCCCCCCCTCGGTAAACCTACCTAATTAAAGGAGTTTTTTTATTTGTTCTCGTCCTGAATATGCATGAAATAGTTAACACAGGACATTAGGTAAGCAAGGAACCATAATAGTTAACACGGGACATTAGGCAAGCAAGGAACCATCAATCAATTTTCAAAAAACAGAATAGCCAAAATTTTCTATGGCTAAAACATTAGAATTGGGAAGTGTATTGTTTTCCAAAAGTAAATTGGTCTCAATACAATTTAAAAACCAGATTAAGATTAAGGAAAAGATCTCAAAGTATCATACTGTGGATACATTATCCCACTGCAGGGTACTTATTTTCATCCTTTTGATTTTGGGCTTTTTAAAATTTTTTATATAATTTTTTTTTTGGGGGGATGGGCAATTTTATGAGCAGTGAATTTACCAGTACATAAAATAATGTATAAATGATATTTCATGTCAGAAGAACAACTGGGACAGCTGGGACGGTCTTACCCCGGAGAAAACACCCATCAGCAGAGGCAATGATCCAGTACAATTTGGTACCACACAGACACGTTCCTTCTACACAGATTCACATCAGTCGTCCTCAAAACAGTTGGGAGGCCAAATCAATTAGGAAAGTAAGTTACCCACAAAGAACAATGAATCCACATTATATTTGTCAGGTTGCTTAATTAATCTGGTAATAAAATGTATTTAGACCAATTTTCTTTTGGAAAAACAAATTACCGGAGTCCAACATTGACAGAAACTGTATATTGGTTTGATACACATCCATCTAGAGTAGAAAATGTGGAATTTTGGATCAAAACTTACCTATCTTGAACCTTTTTATAGATTGTAAGCCTTGTATCTTTGGTAAATTTTAATCAATTCTGAAAACTTATATTTTTAAACCTGAAAACAGTCTGTCTAAATTAGGAAAGTTTTACATATTCCAGACGATTTATATTAGCGTTATTTTCCGACCCGAGAAAGTAGGGGAAAATAAATCGCTTGAGAAAATTAGTTGGTTTACAGTATAATGAAATTGGGATCTATCTATTTTCCCTTATTTAGACAACTGCTTGATGTTCTGACTGCCAATTACAATTATTTGATATCACAGGTACCACTGTAGTAACATTATGGGGTATGTAAGTCAGTATTAAAGGCATAATAAAATAACAAAGACCATATATTTCAACAAGTATGTTGTATTGTCTGGTGACAGAAGCAAGACATAATTCCTGACAAAAAATTAAGAATTATTGCATTATTATAATGACAGCAATACACTTTATCAATATCATAACTTTCCTCCAAAACATTAACAGATATGCTTTACATAACCAAACAATTTCTTTTTTATGTGTAACATATTGGTTCATGCCAAATCTTTAAAAAAATCTAAATCCTCTGCAGTGTTCTTTCTCAGTACCATTTCTTTTTCATGATGTTAATATTTTCTTTAAGATAAAATACCGGGTTGAGAAGTTTTATAGATCATATAATATTGAAATCAATATAAATTTATTCTTTAGGTGTGTTCATTTCTCTAAATAAATCTAAACATTTTTGTTGACACACATTTATAACTTGCGTGGAGAAGAAAAGTAAACAATAAAATCCTAAGTTATAGTGCATAATAATGCCCTATTTAATTGTTCATAACATTTACATACCAACATTGACACAACTGGAAATAAAAATTGTTCAGGAATATTGCAAACTTTGATCTTTTATCAGTTTAGTTCGTTGAGCATTTATCCAGTACCAAAATTTATAAAATATGGACGGACAAATTTTCATTACACCTTATATTCGTGAATTTATTGTTCACTTCCACCCAAACAAAAATCATTCATTTTACTGTCAAAATAAAATATGGCAGTAAAGCTTATCAATTTAATCTAATCACAAAATATGAAGACTGAAAGACAAGAACTGTTCTAAATAGAACATCTTATATACTGCAAAAAATATACAAGCATTTAGATCTAATTAAATACATGAGAGAAACATTACTCAAGTGTTTATCAGAACACAAATGAAAAACTTGTAATATTTGCTTGAACAACAATGAATTTCATGTATTCCTTAAACTGATCATTACTTTGTTCATTTCACTGTATTTATTATAGGATGAAATGAAATAAAATTCTGTGAAGGTGAACATGGCCTATTCAAACATATACTGAATTAACAAAGGAACTTAATTAAATAAATAATATAAAAAAAAAAAATGGGGTCACTGTAAGATGAACTGGATCAATGACAGCTTTGCTACTAAAAAAAGATTTATATGAAAATAAATAAAATTTGATAAAAAAAAAGAGGAGCAAGGGCAAATGAGTTAATCATATCATACCATATATATATATATATGTTAACTGGAATCATTTAGGAATAAAATGGAGAAAAATGTGACTTTTTGTTGTTGAATATAACTTCATTGTAATCCAAGACTTTTCCACTGATATAATATTATTTCTATTTACCTTGTAATTACAGATATGCAACTTAAGCCAAAACAAATATAGAATCATTCATGCATAAATGAAGGTAAGGAGACTCCTTCTGTTTCCACCTTCTAAACTATCCACAGAATGTCTATTGACAAGATATCATTCCTCTATAACTTGTAATTGTTTAGATCAGGATGTTAAAGCATGAAAAAAAGTTTCTGGGTAATGAACATATAGATGCACAGAATGGAATCATAATGTCCTCATTACTATGATAGGCAGGGCATAAAAAAAATGTTTGGTGCTAATTTCACTTGGTTTAAATGTAAAGTACTCATTTTTCTATCTTTTCAATGTTATAAATAATTGATCATTGATCCTTTTATTGTATAAATCAACTCGATACAATAGGTATAAATGTTGGTTTTGACACTTGTCCAATCAAAAAGGTCGCCATTCTATAATGAGAACACTGACCATTACTTATAGGATAAGTTATATAGTAGATGGACAACTTTTAAAGCTCACAAAAAAAATATATACAGAAATTTTGTTGGTTCTTGATAACTATGGTTTAAATTAGGTAAACAAAAACTTAAAATGAAATGATACACAAGCAATTATAATTGGGAGTGTATTTCTGGAAAAGTAGGAGTGCTACTCTAAACTATATAGTTTTCAGTCTGAAATCAATGACAATGGGTTTTTTTCTGTATCCAATGACTAACGATAAATTATTCAATTTAAGGGAAAAACTCTTTTAGATTAAAAAAGATACATATACAATATATGTACATTGTCGGAAAATGTCAAGTTTATATATCAGACATTGTACATATATTGTTTTCATCCTGCAATTTACACCTGGCACTTGAAGCTTTAGTTGTTTAAATTCAAATAGTTATCTCTGATTTTTCAAAGAAATCAACATCGTTTAAACACAAACCGCAAAGAGGATCCAATAATGAACTGTTACGCAAAAAGAAATATCTACATTACAGCCTGCTTAACATGGAAGCGGGGTAACAGGAGACTTTATTTCTACAAGTACATATAAACAAAAATAAATTTGTGTACCTGTTATTTGCACATTAGTTGGCTGATTGCAGGATAAAACAGTTCAATGTCTTTATCAACAAAATACTCCAAATTCATTATTTCACTTAAAAAACCCACCAATTTGAAAACAAATAAATACCATAAATACTTGATGTAAAGAAGTTTGTATTTAAGAAAAAATAAAAGTATATTGAATACTTTGTTGTAGATACTTTCCCTGAAACAAACTCCCCAATGAATTACGGTGATTACTCTAATGAAGTCAGTATGATTATTATAAACAAAACAAACAGAATTCATACTATAATATGTAAAATATCACAAAGAGCGACAACCAAATTGAAAATAATGGAATCAAAATATGGATATTATTTTCAATTTGTTCTGATTTTAAATGAGAATATAAAGATGAAAAATATTTTGTTCTGATAAGGACCATAAATTAATGAATAGTAAAGTCACTTTTAAAATCACATATGATTGTGTAAATCTATGGCATTTAAGCGCTACAAAGGACTTTGAAACACGACAGTAGCCATGCAGATCACAATATTCTATATGGACTCTCTGTACAATATAATACAATATATACAAACTTTATACATATAACTGCATTTAATATATTTATTCAATATGCAAAAATCTCAAATCTTTAATAGCGCATCCCCATGAAATTAATAACAACTTTTTTTAATCAAAAAATCGTAAGTATTATAAATTTACCATATAACATTCTAGAGATGGTCATGAGACCATGTTTGCTCAGTAATATGTCTGTACCAAGAGTTTGTAAATTACTTGAACATACACAAAACCTTTAAACAGAAGTTCTGACTAGCAGTAGAGATCGTTTACAAGCTCCAGGAATACATATTACATAAAATCATTTTTACAAATTCTGCCTTCAATTTATTTTCTGGTTTGATCAAATATAGGTATAATACATGAAGAAATAAGCACTTATTGTCAAAATAAAAAATAATATGTAAAATTTATGTGATACATAATAATAATAAAAAGTACATAGTGCAGATTGTGTTCTTCTATCTAGTAATTACAACAAGCATTCAAAACCTGAGCAGAAACCACAGATTTATGGCAAGACAACTTTGCTGCAATACTGATATCTTACTGTGTAAAGATAGTCAAGTTTTGTCTTTGACGTTAAATATAAGTTAGTGACACAATAAATATTTTGTTCCAAAAATAGATTATAAATACTGCAAAAGGGAAAACAAGTTTTACCTGAAACTTAACAGAGACAGAACATATAAAATAAATGCATAGATCTAACATTCAAATAAAATAAAAAAAATTAAATGTAATATAAATATCAAGATTATGCTACAGTTTTGAGATATACACAATAAATAAATCTTAATTATTTAACAATGTATACATTTACATAGTAAATTATGAACTAAATCTGGTAACACGAAGATTTAAAGAAGATTTTGCAGCAATAGATCTTGTGACTTCTTGTAAAAATATAAGATTACTACAGTTTTATATTAGTCCAGATGAAACTATTAATCTTTCTTCAAAATTAAGCATAATTGTCTGTCACTTCACCTTAAGAATGATCTTTTCTTATACTACAACATATGATTGTGATAACATATTTATGTGATAGCAGAAAAATTGTAACTATCTAGATGATTGTATTTTACTACAAAATAAGCTTAAAGTATCACAGATGAACAACCTCTAAAACTCTTTCTCCCTCTCTCTCAATCATCACATGATTTGACCTCACGGACAGATATACCAGTTTGATTACATGTGAATTATTACATGTGCAGTTTTATCAAATGATATGATGGCGCTGTATCATTAGGAATACTGAGTAAGATGACAGATTGCATAATGACTGGTCCTTCAGCAAATGATTCATTTCTTCTTAGCTTTCATGTTTTTACTTAGATTTTCCTCTTCCTGTATCTCTTTTCTAAAACCTGCTACCTTTTCTGTAAATACAGATAGTCGTACAATAAAATAATATTTCTACTTTACATGGCTATCTAACACTATTTTGAATATTTTTGTTCTGTTGTGTTACTGATCAAGGAAATGCAGAGAATGGAGCGTAACATTGCACATTAAAGTGATGCAAAATTAGCCAACAGACCAACTTAAATTTTAGCATGGTTAGACAAAATTGACAAAACCTTAGAAAGGCTAAATCTAGATGATTGTATTTTACTACAATATTAGCTTTATGCATTATGAGTAATACTAATTCTTAAAAAAAAATTTACTATTTCAGTTTCAATGGTTTCTATAAAACCGTTCTTTTTAAACAGAATGTCTACATGGCAGAGAACAATTCTTACCTCGTAACTGTGTAAGAGCCTGTATCTTTCTTGCTAATAATGTATCTAATTGCTTTGCATATGCTGAAATATAAAACTTTCATATATACATAAAGCACAAAAAAATAAAACACAACCTTCACAATGTCATCAACAGTATTTCATCTGCACAGACTTTCTATTTGGTAATTATACAGAAAATCATAAAGCCACAATCAGAAAAAATCAACACTAAAATCTCTATTTTTATAATAAGTCCTGGTATCTTTGTGTGATAGTATCATGGTGTTTTATGTGTTTTCTCTCATGTTAACCTATCCAATATACATATCCCATTGTGGTTACAAAGCCCATTCAACACAAACATACTTTTTATCTTTACTTATGTGTGGACAAGTGTAGACAGATGAAAATAGTTTATATGTTCCTGACCCATATCTGGGTATAAATAGGTGAAGATCGTTTATAAGGAGTCCTGTTCCTGACCCATATCTGGGTATAAATAGGTAAGATCGTTTATAAGGAGTCCTGTTCCTGACCCATATCTGGGTATAAATAGGTGAAGATCGTTTATAAGGAGTCCTGTTCCTGACCCATATCTGGGTATAAATAGGTGAAGATCGTTTATAAGGAGTCCTGTTCCTGACCCATACCTGGGTATAAATAGGTGAAGATCGTTTATAAAGAGTCCTGTTCCTGACCCATATCTGGGTATAAATAGGTGAAGATCGTTCATAAGGAGTCTTGTTCCTGACCCATATCTGGGTATAAATAAGTAAGATCATTTATAAGGAGTCCTGTTCCTGATTTTATAATATCACGGATTAACTTCCTATTATTGTGATCTTGTTACAATCAATAATACCTTCAACGTCATAATCCACTTCATCCGTCATTTTTGCAAGTTTTTTATCTTCTGTCGTCCATTTTTGGGTATTCTAAAAATATAACAATAAAATAACGTTCTCATACTCTCTTCACAACTGATATGTTGTAAATTTGTCGGTTATTGTCTTTCTTATGGATAGCATAATTTTTTTCTTACACTTTTCTGAAAATGTGTTAAATGTTGCATATGATAAATTATCACAGTTTCATAATAATAATTGTACACAACATTGATTTACCGTAACACTTTTAAATTCTTTTTCATTTTTACTCTATAATAACATTTTCTTGTCCTTTAGGGTCAGGTGAGATAACACTACATTTTACTTAAAAATTAAATAACAATTGTGAAATGGAAGGACTCAATTTTATCACTCATTATAATGTGTCAAAATTTCCTGAGATTAGATGAAATAAAACTAAATATTATCATATTAAAGTTGAACAAAAATGGTTTAACCTGATGACAAAAGGAGCTGGTTTTCTTGGAACCAAATATTTTATTATCATTTTAAAATAGTTCACATCCTCTCTTTAATGGCCTAACTCAAAATCACAAAATCAAGAGCAGCTGGTCTTTATGGAACCAAACACTATGTGAATATTTCACAAGGATAAGTTAAAACAGATTTTTAGTTATCTTGAGACATGCTTGAATGAAATGACACATTGACTAACAATGGGATACCAAAATATGTCCTTTTTACACAGACATACATAAAATAATTATCTCATCACTATAAAGACCAAGGCTGATAGCTATTTTTTTTTACCTCATTCTCAAATGTTCTCTGGAAAGTTCTATAAATGTTCTCAAAATTGTCATCAAATTTATCACTGTTGTTCGGTCATGACGTGAATATTTTTTTTTACATTTGAATAGTTATCCTTTATTACGTGGAATTTTAATGTATTTAAATACAAAATGCAAGGAACTATATCTTTTTCAACAAGTTCTGACTTTGTTTAATTTCAACATCATTAACAATATCTTGACAACACCTATTGTGGAGTAAAATTATAGAACTTCATTCAGCTAATGCAATAATAAGTTTTATTTCCAACTGATTCTGTTTTGATATCACTATTGAAGCAAAACATTAAATAAGACATGATCCTGAATACAACATACCTCAATCAGGGTTTTGTGTAACATACCTCTATCAGAGTTTTGTGATCGTCTATAATGTCTTCCTCTAGTTCCTGCATATGATTTACAGCTTCATGGAATGTTAACATATCATCAGTCACCTCTTCTTGCTGTCAACAGATATAAAACATTTACTTTATTCATATGAGATTTTCCATTGCCATAATAACAATTTATTGTATGATATGAACTGATGTAGAAACAAATCAACATCCATCATATAACAGTCAATGATAAACAAGATTTGACCAACCAACACCCATCATATAACAGTCAATGATAAACAAGATTCCACCAACACCCATCATATAACAGTCAATGATAAACAAGATTTGACCAGCCAACACCCAATATATATCAGTCAATGATAAACAAGATTCCACCAACCAACATCCATCATATAACAGTCAATGATAAACAAGATTTGACCAACCAACACCCATCATATAGCAGTCAATGATAAACAAGATTCCACCAACCAACATCTATCATATATCAGTCAATGATAAACAAGATTTGACCAACCAACATTTATTATATAACAGTCAATGATAAACAAGATTCCACCAACCAACATCCATTATATAACAGTCAATGATAAACAAGATTTGGCCAACCAACACCCATCATATAACAGTCAATGATAAACAAAATTTGGCGAACCAACACCCATCATATAACAGTCAATGACAAACAAGATTCCACCAACCAACACCCATCATATAACAGTCAATGATAAACAAGATTCCATCAACCATCATCCATTATATAACAGTCAATGATAAACAAGATTTGACCAACCAACATTTATTATATAACAGTCAATGATAAACAAGATTTGACCAACCAACATTTATTATATAACAGTCAATGATAAACAAGATTTGACCAACCAACACCCATCATATAACAGTCAATGATAAACAAAATTTGGCCAACCAACACCCATCATATAACAGTCAATGATAAACAAGATTCCACCAACCAACACCCATCATATAACAGACAATGATAAACAAGATTCCACCAACCATCATCCATTATATAACAGTCAATGATAAACAAGATTTGACCAATCAACATCCATCATATAATAGTCAATGATAAACAAGATTTGACCAACCAATTACAAGGGGTTATCAACACCAATATAGTCATGAAATTTGACTGAAAGTTTAAACAGCAAGAAAGTTCTATATCCCACATATTGTAATGTAACCAATCACATTATAGGTTAATTTGTATGGTAAATGAGCAATTTAAAAACAAATAAATAATGTCAAAATTGAAATGTAAACAAGGGAGCCCTCAGAAAATCATTCTGAGGAGTGCAACTTACATTAGTGGTTCTCAGTAACACCAGATCACTGTTTTGAGGAGACATTGCTCCAAGGTTATAGTTGTTGGGTAAAGCTACTTCAGCTGGTTTTCCCTCCACTGGCCCTCCTGGACCAAGTTCTTTTACTCTATAAAGGAAAGTATAACATTTCAACCTAATTTTATTAGCAGGGAACAAGAAATGTTCCAATCCTTGCATTTTGGTATTAAACATAGAACACCATAATCATGATAGTGATCACTTGAATTTAACAAATTAGATGATAAGAAGCATTCATATCCTCACATAGATCTCATACTTTCTCAATCTTAGTTGTAAATTTAGTGTAGTAAATATTGTAATTTTAATATTTAAACAAATTAAAAACTTGTCCTCACTAGATAGTATTACCTAGATATTGGCAGTTATATTACAACACTAGTATATAATTTTCTATCAGTTATGTATACAAATAAAATGCAGTGTCAATTTCACCTTTACAATCTTGGCACAATTTAATTGTTCTTATTATAAACATAATCCATTAATTGCATCTTTTACAAAAATTTGTAACACACAAAATCCCGTTAAATATTCTGTGCTAGCCATACTGAACTGCTGAATAGTATATACTGTAAATTCACAAATTCTATCAATGGTTATTATTATGATAATTGTAACAGGATAAGTTTAATAGCAAGAAGGAAAACATGGATTTTAATTTTTCAAAGCATTATTTGTATGCCACATTTCTTGACATTGCAATAATTAAACTCACATTTCTGTCCATTTTTCAACAATCGCAACAAAAACAAATGCTTTAAACTGAAATTTTCTGTACTTTTTACAAGTATTTTTTCTTGTAAGAAATTTATGTGAAAATTGCTGCCGAGAGACACTATGGTTAAGTGTTGTTTATGTTGTAAAGGAAACTTATAACTCAGATGCATATTTCTCACAGTAGACAACGCATCATAGATATACATTCCTAAAGTTTATCTGAAGGATATACATTCCTAAAGTTTATTTGAAGGCATAATGCTGACATTTTCTTATCAGAATTTATCTGAAGACATAATGCTGACATTTTCTTATCAGAATTTATCTGAAGGCATAATGCTGACATTTTCTTATCAGAATTTATCTGAAGACATAATGCTGACATTTTCTTATCAGAATTTATCTGAAGACATAATGCTGACATTTTCTTATCAAAATTTGTCAAGTGGACCTGTTTAACCATCTCAACTATGTTACAAGTAAGATAACTAAAATTAGAGCCAATTAAATAGTAACTGTTGAAATAAGTGTATATATTTACCTATCAGCATAACGTAGTGTGTTTAATGTATGCTCACAACAACTCATCCCTGGTGATACCATAGCAATCTGTAGAAAATAAACAAGCATAGGAACAGCTGCCCAGGATCACATGATATGCCCACCTTTATGGCTTAGGGGTCATCCATAATTGTCAACCATTATCCAAAGTGTACAAAATGTGCACTTGGGGGGAGGGGGTTAAAAAATCAACATTTTTACCGTACGCTTTTTTTTTTATTTCCGGAATTTTTTCCCATTCATTAAAACCAACAAATCAACAAAACGATATCTTTATACTCTTTATTCTGACAAAACACAAGCATCACAGATAGATGTCATCAAATAAAACAGTCAGATATGTTTCAGTTTATTTTCAATGCAAATTTCTATATTAAACTAAATTGTAATAGATAGGATCTTCTTTTTATTAAGAATGATTAATTCTTGTCTTGAAATCTGAAAATGGTCAATGTACACTTTTTGAGGGAGGGTGGGGGGTCTGAGAAAGTGTATGTTTTGTACACTTTGGAAAATGGTTGACAATTATGGATGACCCCTTATGCATCTTGAAATTATTGCAAAAAAATATAATGCATTTATATAATATTGAAGAAGGCATTAAATTAGAAATCAGAAAAAATCAAATTTATATTCAATTTAGGGATGATAATATTGAGTATTGGTCTCAACCTGTTTTATCCTGAAAAAATTTCACTCTCTGACCCAGGAGTCATAGTCAAATGAAGGTTCACCCATCAATTGCAAAATCTAGGCAGTACACAGTGTAATATGAAAATTTAATCAAGTTTCAAATGAAACAATACTGTTGACATTTATTTTTATTTTCTATGAATATTAAGAAATAACGCACAATTATAAGAACTTTATAATAAAGCCAACTAGGCTATCTCATTGCCAAAAATACAAATAAATTAGAAATCTAAAGGTTATCAGAAAATTTCAATGAAATTACAAAAATTCACAATTTTGAGTCTTACTTTTCTCAAAAACAAGCACGATACCTGTGTTTTATTTTGTGATTTTTCAAAGATTTTAACTGGCCCTACAGGTATTATAAAATGACAAAGATAACAAGACAAGGTAAAACTGATTCCACTGCCCTTCACATAACATGCTTAACTGGTAAATAACTTACCATACATGTCCTGGAATTTTCTCCAATAAATGAATCCCGAAGGACCTGAGTAAGTTTACTAGCTCTGAATGGTTGATGAGCTCCTTTCTGGCTCAATTTTCTTATACATTCCTGTAATGCAAAACATAACCTATGGTCACATTCATATAAATAAAATTACAAATATCTTAAATCCTGAAAACATCAATAAAACTATTCAGAGACAGTACCCCAATGACAAAAATAACCAAAAATAATATATTTCCTTTTTTTAAACCTGCTACTATAATAATGTTATAAATGTAATAAATGCATAGGTTACTGACAAGAAAACAAAGAGTAACATGATTGTCTAGAATATGTAAAAGAAACATAATGGACTTGCTGTAAACTGCCAGGGCTGATAAAATACAAGGAAAGTGGAAAGTCTTTTATGACTTATTTATGGAGCATAATCGCAAAAGCCTACAAGAAAATATTAAAAAATGTGTAATGCTAAAAACTTACAATGCCAAAAATGCAAATTTAATTCAAAAATTCTGAAAAAAACTTTATTACTGTTTGGTCCAATAAGGGACTACTGAATGGTAGGATAACCAGTGAAATGTTCACAAAGACCTAATCACAAACCATAATCTGTTTAAAACTAACGATCTTCCATAGATTTGAACAGTGGTTTAAGGAATGTACATTAAATTTATTTACTGTCGAGTTTCCATACTTCATTTTTATGAGTATCATATGTTTTTCTAATTTTTTCACTACTTTCACATTTCCCAACTGATTGTGAAAAAAATGTTCTCCTCACTAGTGAAATATCTGTTCTCGGCAAATGATTGGTCGAAATTTAATTACGACGTCAAATTTTCTTGATTTCTTCTGAGTTTCCTATTGTGACGTCATGAAAAAAGGCGACCATGCCTGACGATGTTACATATAAAAAACACAACTTTCTGCAAATCTTTGGAAAGGAAGGATAAACTTTGTTTAGATATAGTCTAAAAATCATAAGAGAAACAGATTCCACCCTATAACTCATGTGTTACGATATTTCTCACTCTCAATAGCTAAATTTTGATTATTTAAAAAGCTAAGAAAGCCTCTCGCTTTAAAAATTAAAATTTAACTGCCTCGAGTGGAGAAATATCTTAACATTTGTTGTAGTGGTAAAATCTATATTTCTTAATATGTCTTATCCACTAATCATCTTCTCACATTCTTTCATGTACATAACCTTACATTATTTATACATTTTATTGTAAAAACCTTTTGTTAATTTCTTTAAGCCATTATATTTGACCTGGCCACATAGTTGAATATACATTACAAACTTTCATTGAAATATACATGGAGAAACAGAATATGCTATCAAACTTTATTATTATAAATACCTTTAATGCTAACAAACTTTTGTTGATTTCTGCACCTTCCATCCTTGTCTGTCTGTCTGAACTTGATGTATCAGCACCTCGTTCATTACCTGAAAATATAGTTACAAGTTTCAAGATCAAATCCAATAAGTTATTTCATTTTGCAAAATCTTTAAAAATCAATTTTCTGATATCATGAGAGAAAATGTCAAATAGAATAAAATAAATGTGTTAATATTAATAATCTAAATAGTATCGTTGATTCCTGTATGATTAAAACATAATGGCAATTTTTATATGATTTACAGAAAATGTGAACAATGCAAGAAAAAAATAAAGATTACAAACTAGACATAACAACTTACCTGCCAAATCTATTAAAGAAAATTTACCATGCAATCTACCATTACTCCTGAAATATTATAAAGTCATTATTTTACAGACTTTCTCATATTTATTTACATCTGATCCATGATGAATTCAAAGTATCTTTATGTACATTCAATGACATATACATACTGAAAGTAAACATTTACTCTGTTTTCTGCTGGTTTACATAATTCATACATGATTTTGATGGTGATATTAATGTTGACTTTCATACCATGAAAAACATACACATCATGAAACAAATTGCTTAATGTTATTATTCTTAACTGTTATATCTAAGGTATTTTAAGACTGAACCACAAACCCTGCAACATTTTCGTGTGCCTATACCAAGACAAGAACCTCGTCAGCAGTTTTCATATGCCATATTTGACTGTTTATCCATTTATTGGAAAATTGAGTTTTAACAGCAGATTTTATGATTAAGAATTGTGATAATCGTAGAAAAAAGTGATAGTTTAAAATTCGTGGAATGTCCTTTTTTCTGTATGTCATGTACCTTTTCCGTACAAAAATCTGGAATACTGCATGTGATCGAGAAGAATGTTGATTGGCCGATGTCTGTCCTGATGTCCGTACATTATTACCATGTTGTATAAGTCGTAAAACATCATCGACACTGTCTATGGCTTCTTCCTTAAGTCCTACCACTTGCACTTGAGCTTTGTGGTCCTCTAATACTCGTAATTTTAATTTCTTATTCAATAAATCAAACACCTGAAAAAGATAGGACAGGTCTCATTAAAAAGGCAATGTGAATTCTTTCTCCTTATGCATTTTCTTAAGGTAAATACTAACTTATATCTTGCTATATATATAAATTATCCTCTAAGTTTCAATGTCATCTATCCTTTGTCAACAAATATTTTAAAGAACAAAGATACTGTTCTGTTTTTCCTTCCTGCTTACAATCAATCAAAGTATTTAATCAGTAGTCATACCAGATATACTGTGGTATACATTTATGCAAATGTATCATATAAATGAGTACTGATTATCAGTTTTTCAACACATTTTATTAGGTCTTTAAAAATTGTTTTATCATACATAGTTGGAACAATTTTTTTCTTACTTTCATCTCAAATTGTCATATAAAAAATTTTGTGACATAGCAAAGCCTTGATACTATATGGTTGTTATATGAATATTGTTCTGAGTAGAATACTTTATTACACGATCTTGCATCAAAATGGCATCATAACTTCCTTTGCTTTTCTTGGGTTCAATTACAATGAAGTGATTTCTACCTCAGGATGGCAGATAAGTCGACATTTTATGACTAAAATTGACAATATTTATAATAAAATATTCAAGACATACAAGTATTTTTTCTTGTAAGATTCTTTTTGAAAACAGCAACAGGTAAACCATAAACAGAAGCAATAAACACAGTCATATAGACTTCTGTAATCAATTTTACAATGCAGTCACGTACATAACTCATTTTCTTAAGCCTACCAGGTGTTTAGGTTAAAATAGATTGAATCTGATTGGAATACATGGGACCTTGTGTAAAGCTTCTTTTTAATGAGTGCATTTATAATTCTATTTCTTACTTATTACAGCATTTAATGGTATACTTTTATCATTATAGAAGACAATTCTATTACATTGTGTTGTTGTGATTTTCGTTATTAAATTCTGTAATGATAGGATTATTATTAAAACTTGTCATGCTTGTTCTGCTTCTAAATAAATTAACCTTTTTTTCTGTACCTACGATTTGACCTTGAATATTTTGCTACCAATAATTTAACATCTCATTGACCTGTGACAAACTACTTACTTTACCACTATAAATCTCAAAGAAACTTGAATGAACTGTAAGATCTGATTTCTTATACTTGGAATGGTAAAGTTTGAACACATCTCTAGCTGTAAGACAAAGATAAACAATGTTATTACATTCTATCTATTTTAAATAAAGTCATGTGATTATGGTCTTTGTAAGACAAAGATAAACAATGTTATTACATTCTCTCTATTTTAAATAAAGTCATGTGATTATGGTCTATGTAAGACAAAGATATACAAAATTATTTCATGTCCCCTCTTAATTTATAATAAAGTCATGTGATTATGGTCTATGTAAGACAAAGATATACAAAGTTATTTCATGTCTCTTAATTAATAATAAAGTCATGTGATTATGGTCTATGTAAGACAAAGATATACAAAGTTATTACATGTCTCTTAATTAATAATAAAGTCATGTGATTATGATCTTTGTAAGACAATGATAAACAAATTTATTACATGTCTCTTAATTATAAAGTCATGTGATTATGTCTCAAGATCAAACAGGAAACTCTGAAATGGGAAAAATACAAAACCTCACATAAAATTATGATTATCTATGCTTGTGGTCAATGTTTAAAGAGCTGTCAAATCATACTTTAAAGACCAAACAGCCTATTCAGTTCTACCAGTGATTTTTCCTTAAAATTTTGTGTGAAGGTATTTCATGATTTGAGGAACAAAATATGATAAAAAAAATTGGGGGTCACCGACTTAGTTTTGTCACTATAGCAACCTCAGTTTCGTGTTTTCCCGAATATTAACATGATATTTGCTTGTTATTTAAACTCTCAAAAAATCCCATTATATCAAACCTACAAGCATAATTCTTGTTTCATGTTAAACAGTAGATTTGTGTCTATCAAATACAGGTTCAAGAGTTTAAGACTCTTATTGTTTTGATCTTAAAAAATATGATTTATTTCATTCCCGCCAAAAATAAAACGCAAGAATGAAAAACGTTTCAAGTATTAAAAAATATCTACCAGTGATTTTTTTCATAAAAATTTCAAGAAAGAAAGTGCCATGTGTACTCTTCAAAATAAAGCAAAAAAATGTATATGTCACCGACCTTTCAAAAAAGTTGTGATTAATTTTCATGTTTTTTTCTCGCTCGTTTTGAAGAAAAGAGTAGTCTTTCTTCAGAACATTCAATCTGACGTCATAGTACAAGTTTTCCTTGCTGGCGCACTGTTTGAAAAAAAATGCAAATTGGACGTTTGAAACCCACATTTAAATTTTCAATAATCAAGAATAACAACTATATTCACCTACTTTATTATCCGGTAATACAAGAGATCACATGTATGTATCAGTATCAGATCTCATGATGTTGTTGCCGCACAAATTTAACCTTCAGAAACACCATCCGTCGGAATGAAAAATTGTTCAAAATAACCTTTTACGACGCTTTAGAAAGGAAAGTCTGTTTTTGTCCTCTCCCTCTCATTAGCAAAATCATTGAAAATAAAAAGAGAAATGAAAGACGACACTGGCTTACTTACAGACTATTTGACTATATTAGACCAGATGTGTGGGTTTTTTTGTCGCGTCAATTTCAGAACTTCGCCCTAACGCACTCTTTCGCTACTGTTGACAGACGGACAGACATTAGCACGGACGGACTTCTTTATACTATTATGTGTCCCGACTAAGACGAGCGTATACAAATTATTCCATCTAGTTCGTGGATTCATTATTTCTGAATATTTAAAATATAAGAAAATTAAAATTATAGGTATAATATATGAATTAAATTTTTTGATTCTAAAACATTTTACATCCATTTAACCTATCATAAAATACGATCCCCGTTATTACTACCTCACGTGTTTTGAATAAACGAGACAGTAAATATAAAATACAAATAAGTTTTTAATTCAAAAAATGATTTAGAATTTAAGAAATAATTTTCCGTTGAAAACTATAAAGTATTTCTCAAAACAGGATGAAATATTATGAATCTAAATAGCTCATTTTGGAAATTAAAACAAAGACAAGGTTGTATGTATAGATTGCAGGCATTGAAAATCGAAATTTGTTTTCAATCTTTCCGGTCATTGTAGCTTTTTGAAAGTGAGAAATTTTATGTTTGATCTTATTCTTGAAGCAATTGTTTTTGTCATAAGTTAAATTTTAGTTTTAAAAACCGTAAATTTTTATTTTAATTTACATTCACTGAGTATATTAATTTCTTATATTTTTTGCCTTAAGCTTCTGTGAGATCAGGCGAAATCTTTATCATTTCTCCTTGAGACAATTTGAAATGAAACAAATGACAAAAGACAATGAACCTTTATCATTTTTATTTTTACTATAAGATTTTGTCAATTAAGCAGTATAGATAAAATTTAACTTCATTGCAAGATCACCATTATTTTACGAGAAATAAGATAATCTCAACATGCATACGTTGCCAGTATATCGAAACTTCTAGAAAGTATTGTTTATCGGCCTATCCTTCTGAAAACTCAGTTTTGAAAATCACATATTAAGTTAAAATTCTAAGCGTAAGTCATATAAATTTACCAGTGTAAAGTTACACGGGCGTACGAGATTTGCGCCGATTTAAACAAAAAATCGATCTTTAATTTGCGCCGATTTGATTCTTTCATTAGCGCCTATTTTATTTTTTTTATCACTAGCCCGATACTTTATTTGCTATACGAGTAAATACATGTACATGTAGTAAACCTAGAATGTATATTGCATGGTAATATATGGATATAAATAGTGTTCCCTTATGTTTAAGATAATTTTGGTCATATTGTACGAGAACTTCGTTTTGACACGAGAAAGAAAAGATGGCTTTCGTTATTGGCAAGTACAACAAGTATAGAAAAGATAAAATGACAAGAAAGGAATATATCAGATGTGTGGCATATAAATTCTCGGCAAGATAATAATTCATTGTACTAGTATTACATTTTTATGGATTTTATTGTGGTGCTTTGAAATGTTGTACATAGAATTTTACTCCGTGATTTTAGTGGATGTAAACAGAGTGCACAAATATCTTTTAAATTGACTTATCTTGCTCGAAATTCTACTCCCACCTCCCCTTTGTGAGCAGGGGACAACAGTTATATAGTCATGTTATAATTGACAATTCATAACATATGTACAACTGGCTAACGGAAGAGGTTTATATGATAAATAAAAAAATAAATTTCACCTATAATTTGACGTTTTTTTTTCATGGCTAGAAACAACGTCATAGAGCTTTTATGTCACTACCAAGTTGCGTTAGTTGATGCGCATCAACAATAGGCTGTTTGGTCTTTAACTCAATATGTTCAACCATTACAATATGGGTGAAAATAAAACATTAAATTTTTTTTTAGAGATATAACAAAAGTTGAACTATGATCTTTTGCCGACTAAGTGTTCTGAAAACTAGAATTTCATGAGGGATGAATGTTAAAACCCATCACATGGAATATCATGATCACCTGAAGCTGGATATCAAAGGAGTAGAGCTATTAACCCCAAAAAACGGTCTTGTAAAGTTGCAATATTAAAACATCAATTGTTCAAGTAAATTTACTGTGAATGTATTGCTAAATGTATTATTTTTGTAAGTATAATAAGAAAAAATATCTACTACATATATTATAAATATATTAGCCTGAAATAGGAATAGATTTCATTTTAGTACATTTTTCTAGAAATTCAACACCCTTTTCGACCTTATTTCGTGATTTCATTTGTGGCGCGATCCCTCCCCCATTGAAATTTTGGTTGAAAAGTAAAGAATATGGTATATTTAAAATATTTCAGCAAAATATTTGTGGCGAGGGGTGGCGCCACATTTAATTTTTCAGAAAACTGACATAAATTTCACCAAATTATGCCAAAAATCAAACGTTCACAAATTCCCCTACATTTATGACGTCAGAAATATATCACTAATGATGTAATTGGTCAAAATCTTTTAGAACTGAAACTATTGGACATTTTAACATATGTTTTCATATAATTTTCACAACATCATTGCAGTTAAAAGAAAATCAGGTTTTTAGGGCCAAATTTACGAATAGTGAACCAACTCCTTTTACAATTTTGGATTTCTGAAAGATGCAACAAAAATTTCCTACATGGTCATTATGTGTAAGACTATATTAGAATTTTGTTAACAGGAGGTTAATAAGTTAATTAGAAAATGCATCACACAGTATTGCATGTATTCCTTAGGAAAATGCAACCAAAATATTAATAAGACGGATTGACAGAAACACATATAGAAGGACAACCATAAAACTGTATACCCCTGCTTTGAAATGGGGGTTTAATAATAATAAGAGCTTACCTGCTAAACAGTATATACCCTTGGAACAGTCCTGCTGTCCTTTTGTCGAAAAATCTCCACCCATAGTCTGAAAATTACAATGGAATTTCATTTGTACTATAAACCGTCATGTACTACAACATTTAAAGAAACAAAAAAATGTCTACTTTACATTTTATTTCAATTTGAAACTTAGGCATTGCATTTTTCTATGGTTTTGATAAACTGGAATTTGACAGCATTTCATTACAGTACAAATCTTATAAAATACATGTTACGCTTTTATAAATAGATTTTTTTAAGTTGTGTTTTTTTACATGTATTTTTTTGTCTGCCCCCTGATCTGTGTCAGGGTGGGGCCAAAATACAATACATGTGACAAAGTAGAGATGTAAAATTGTACTAACAGTGCAAAATTTTATATCTAACACACAGAGGTATAGTTAATATCTTACATGTGTTTTTCCACTCCCAGTTTGTCCATAAGCAAAACATGTTGACATTCCACCTTCAAATATACTCTCCACTAATGGTTTGGCAGTAAATCTATAATGGAGATCTCATAAAAATTAAAAATGCACAAATAAAATAAAAAAACACATGTATCTAATATGTTCTCCCAGGGCTGTTTTAGTTCTGCTTTATTCCGTCCTATTGCCTTTTGCTGCTGTCCTATTGGACAAATTGCATCTCTATTGATTATTTCAAGTTTAATTTCTTTTTCCTTGTGTTTATGGCAAGTTTTCTGACAATTTATCATATACTTAGTAGTAAATACAGATAAATTGTATATGTAATACGGTCAAAGGCAATCGTGCTGTATCAGCCATCCGTGATGATATTGATATCAGTCACGGTTGGAAAGGCTTTATCACACCTTTAATCTGTATGACGTCACATCATCGATAGCAGTCACTGTTGCAAAGACTTTATCAAACCCCTAATCTGTATAACGTCATGTCACATAAAAAAAATCTACTTGAGGTATATAATAAAGTGTATATATGGCTTTTTCAATATCACACACCGTATCAACCCTCAACCAATATAATCCCTCGAGCAGAGCTCTTGGGATTATATTGGTCTCTCAGGTTGATACGGATGTAATATTGAAAAAGTCATATGATATTCTCTATATATTTAACTCTTACCATGCTGAATTGTTTCTATAACTATGCAAATTATATGCAAATGAGGTATATCCTGCTGCTGATGCATACTGATTCCATTAAAGCTAAGATAGGGGATCACAGGACCGCGTGGATGGTGTGAGGAGGTGAGTTGGTGGGAATCTGCCCCAAAGTTGGTCATTGGGTGCAAAAAGCGTCAATTTTGACAATTTTTCTTCCTTTTTTTTTTTACCTGGAAGTAAGAGGGATACTGATAAATGTATCCCATTGTAGTCTGCATGTAGGGTGGACACAAGTGACCACATTAACCACAACAAAAACCTAGGTAGGAGTGAAACTGATCTGGGTACAGCAGTCTAAAGAAGGTCATTTGCAAAAAAAATCCGGAATTTCTTGAATTTTACCGATTTTTGGCTTCAACTGGACCTGCAACTGGAAGTAGTCGTTCACCAAGTGAATTTCAATAATAAACACGATAAGTAGTTATATTCCCACGGGTTTACACTATTTTGGGAAGTTTTAGGCCTCTGAACTGTGTGCATCAGGCACCAAAGGGAAGCCCACCCCTCCAGAAAAACCACTTATAGCAGATTTCAATTTTCCAAGTTCGTATTTGAGCTCTAAATGCACCTTAAACCTGAGAAACATGACAATAAATAGCCTTAGGTTGATGGAACAAGCATCAACTTTGAAAATAAAGTCAGACAGTTGACCTCTAAAAGTATCAAGAGCATTGGAGCCAAAATACGGCCCCGCATGGTAAGGGTTAAATGTCTACATTTTCCTTGTGTTTATGACAAGTTTTCTGACAATATATTTAAATGTCTACCTTTTCTTTGTTCTTATGACAATTTTCTGACAATATATTTAAATGTCTACCTTTGTTTGTGTTTATGACAATTTTCTGACAATATATTTAAATGTCTACCTTTGTTTGTGTTTATGACAATTTTCTGACAATATCTTTAAATTTCTACCTTTTGTTTGTGTTTATGACAAGTTTTCTGACAATATATTTAAATGTCTACATTTTCTTTGTGTTTATGACAAGTTTTCTAACAAATCTTAAAATTTCTAAATTTCTTCTAGTTTACTTACCTGTATACCATATCATTTGTAGCATTTTCATCAAAGGCATAATCAAATCTAAATGTTTGGTTTTCTAAGAACTTGGTTAAGTCTACTTTTGTTTTAGGTTCATGTACTAGGACATTTTCTTTGTTGGGTAATGTTAATACATCTATATCCTTCTTCGAAAGCTCTGAAAAAGAACGTTGATTTTTGGAAGACTTGATATTGCTTGAATATGTAAATGCATTTCAGATTCATGAACAAAGATATACAATAGCCAACAACATTCCTGATATTTTGTTCTACAACATGACATTTCTGATCAAGCAAAAGCTGGTCAATTTTTCAAGGCCGATTCCTCAAAATATTCATGTCTGAAAACTACATCGTCTGCCATTTTGATTACACAAAATCTGAAGACCTTTCTTTTGAAGATATATAAACATGGTAAATAAAAATTTTAGAAATTGTTTGAGGCAATCTTGACTAATTGTACCACATGGAAGTGCTAACAGATGGACAGAGAGCCAGAGTGATTACTATAGTACCCTTATTATTTGGACTTGGAGGCAACCAGTCAGTGGAGATGTTGTATATTTTAATATTCTTTTGGGTTGATTTTACCTTTTTTATTCAGAGGCCTTTTTCTGACACAGACACAAATCTGGTGGTTAACAATAGGATCAGAAGAAGTTAATGGTCTGAAATCAAGTCCAGCTCGATATTCCCTGCAAATATATTAATTAAGTATTAAGGTTTGATTTCAACTCCGTGTAGATATTCCATGTAAATATATCAAATAGTATGCAACTAAGGCTGTAGGCAAGAAAAAAATCTAATTGTCCTTCATGGACTGACAGTATATATATATATATATATATAGAGATTCAACCACTGCACTTCAGACAGATAAAATATCAAAATTTAAAGGTCAAGAGTTGAGAAATGTCTGAATGCATGTAAAATCGGTTTCTCTTGTGATATTTAGATATGTAGACATCTTTCTTTTTCAATGACTTCAAAAATATGAGCTCCCTCTATGTGATGTCATCAGACATAGTCACCTTTTTTTTTATAGGAAAACGAGATTTGTTTAAGTCATTATTGATTTTTGACCAATTAAAAATTGAGATCAAATAAACCACAGGTTGATTATAGAAAAATAATCAATCATTCAGGAAAAGTATAAATGAGCTAAGCTTGAGAAAACTTTCTACTAAACTGGAGGAAAACATTTGTCGTGCTATTTGAGCCAGAAAATTGCTGACAAGCTTACAGAGCATTTTAAAAAAGACTAGTAAGAGCTTTCAGTGTGTTAAACTTACCGCTAAGACTATTTTGAAACTTACTTAATCATAGCCAAAAACTCCCAATTAGGATCAGACATGTCATAATCTCGTTCATTTTTCAGACGAGCTGCTTCCTGATTAGCTCTTCGTTCGTCTCTTTTCTTCTGTATACCTTCAACAGCTTTTACACAGTTGGATTTCCTCCGAGCTGAAAGTAATTTGACAATAAATAGCTATATAAGTAATAATCTATATAACTAGTCACTACTAATTTTATCAACACTTTAAACCAGAAAGGTATACTGTTCATTTCATTGTTTCATTACCATCAACAATGTTTTTGTTTTTTTTATAAAATTAGCAGAACTGACTGTCCCTTATGTTACAATTATTTTTTTCAGCCAAAAAACTAAATCATTATCTGTGTGACATTGTCAAAAGATTTCATGTATTCAGTGAAAGCAAACTTATCACATAAGTATCACCAGCCAGTTTTTAACTATTTAAGTCCTGTGGCTCTGGAACCACTAATCTGAAAATCATCAACATCCAAAAGCATGAAAAGTAGCTTGTCTTTACAAATAAAGTTTAAAATTTCAGGATTTGTAGAAGCATACGTGTCATGCCTAATACCATAATACGTCCTAGACGGGCGTATAAAAAGGAAATAGAAAGCGCATTAAAAGGAATAAGAAAGACTACCTACCCTCTGGTATTCCCCACATTATCTGCTGCACTAATGGCTGTGGATAACCTACTTTATGTCCTAAAGAGAATACACAACTTAAAATTATAAGGATATGGATCATTTGAACAGAAATGATTACCTGCAGCCCCTTTTGGATCTGTATCAGGTTTATTTACTGGGTGTCCATTAGATACTGGCTGTTGTTGTGCTTGATAACTCAGTCTTGACTTGGCAGAAGATGGAGCAGCAGCTGTATAATACATTAAGATACATATTACTCATACAGTAGACACAATGTGATTCACTGTGAAATAGGGACATTTATGGTGACTGTAGGTGACACCAGATTTACAGCCATGTCATATGTACATGTAGGTAACACCAGATTTACAGCCATGTCATATGTACATGTAGGTGACACCAGATTTACAGCCATGTCATATGTACCGAGTGAATTAGTCACATTCACTGTGGTCTTTAACTGAATCTCCTTCATCATTTGTTTATGTCCTAGTGTGTAGGTATTTCATGGCATACAGCCCTTAAAGGAGAAACACTGTACAAGACTGTATCCTAGCCATTAAATGAAATTTTACATCACAGTTGTATTAAACCGTTATCTATATCTCAATGACGCCCCGATAATATTGCTTCTCAATCCTTGAGCATTAGTTGAGTTCCTAGCACCTCCATTAGTATAAGTTTCACTTTATATTTATGAAGCAAAATCAAATATTAGTGCTGCTATTTTCACAAGATATTTATTCGAAGGATCATTCAGCATAAATTTGGTTGAAATTATCCATGGGTAATGTTGGTTTTAGAGGACAGAGAAGAGTTTATTTTTATAAAAGTTTGGGATGTCAGACAAATACCAAGTGTTGACAATAACTCACATAGCAAGCAAACGATTAATAGTTAGTTAGAAAGCACAGAAAATGTGCATTGTGAACTGATTTTTATATCCGATTCAATATAAGACTATGTTCAGTTTTGGTCGCTTCTTTAACGCCCCACTGAAAATACAAAACACGATGGCAGAGAAATTTATCCAATAAAAGAACAGAGTTCCAATATCCTGCGTTGCACATATTTTATCTGTTCTGTCCAAGAACAATAACTAAAAAAAAATTTTTTGATCTTTTAAAACTTCTTAAAATTATCGTACTAGAGAGTTAGAAGACTTGAGAGCAATTTCCGATATATCTAATATTTCCAAGGGGAACTCATTAAAACTATTTGATTGGCACTTATTTCTGAAATTGTCTGAGACATTGCTGCTATATACCTTTGATATGAATTTGATAAAATCTGGCAAAAATTGTACATGCGAGGAACACTTACAATGCAATTTTCCATATAATCAATGTTTCCAAGGGGCATCATTCTTTTAAAAATAATTGATCAGCACTGATTTTCGAACTCTTTAAAGACATTGCTGATATAAACCTATGATATAAGTTTCATAAAAATCTGGCAAGAATTGTACACATGAGAGTGCTAACGATGCAATTTTCCAAATTATTAATGTTTCCAAGGGGCATTATTCTTTTAAAAATAATTGATTGGAACTGATTTTCGAACTCTTCAAACATATTGCTAATATAAACCTATGATAAAAGTTTCATAAAAATCTAACAAGAATTGTACAAATGAGAGCACTAACGATGCAATTTTCCATATAATTGATGTTTCCAAGGGGCACAACTTTTTTATAAATAATTCGTCGACACAGATTTTCAGACTTGTCCAAGACATTGCTGATGTAAACCTGATATAAGTTTCATAAAATTCAGGCAAGAATTGTACAATTGACAGCGCTAACAATGGAAATTTCCATATAATTAATGTTTCCAAGGGGCATTACTCTTTCAAAAAAATTAATTGACAATGATTTTAGAACTCGTCCAAGACATTGCTGATATAAACCAATGATATAAGTTTCATAAAAATCTGGCAAGAACTGTACACGTGGGGGTGCTAACAAGACTGGATGGACAATAAATAAGATATCAGTTACAATATTTTAACATTTCCCCCCCAGTTCATACATGGAAAGCTTATAGATTGAAACTGTCCATCCATATTTAGTAGATCTTCCATTTCTCTACAGAATGACACCAGGTGAAAACAAATAACCTACCTTTCTTTACAACATTAAGCTGTCTAGCTGTTGGTCCATCACCATCAGGTTTAGTTCCCTGAAAGGAGTTCCTCATAGTACTCATTACTAACAACAATAATATGTATAACTTTACACACAAGATTTTGGTCCTTTCATAAGAACAGTTTAAGAATAAGAACACGTTTGTCTGACACAGAACAGTTCATTATGTCAAATAGTTATCCAAGTACTGTTAAGTGTAACTAATAATCAATAAAGAGTTTTCCCATGGCATTCAGGATAATTAAATATACATTCAAGTTCAGATTTACTAATTAGACTTATAGTTACAACCATGACAATACAATAATATTCCCTTTTGTTTTCATTTGGAAGCTATTAATATGAATGAAAAATAATATAAAAATGCTTTACCTTTTTTAAATTTTTACATACTAAGCAACTTGATGAAATAATTAAGATTCTTCATGGATATGATATATATCCTGAGCACACAGATTAAATTGTTAATAATAATCTACCTTAGATGATTTGCTTTCCCTCCCTATAGGTGCAGGGACAGAGGCTAAATCTGGATTCAGTAGAAATATAGCCTCTATTTCAATCTAAAATAACAAGATAATCACATAATGCAATGAAAACATATAATTTAATGTAGGGTAGAAAGTCCAAAAATAGTAATTCAGTTTCAAGATAAATTTATTCTGTGCACTTTGCTTAACAAAAGAATAGCATTTCTAAAACCATTTTTGTATTTTAATATTCTAGTTATTTATTTAACAACTTTTTAATTAAAATTTTTTTTGTCAAAAATTCAATAATTATCAAGCTATTATTATGAAAAACAGTTCCAGTCAGTGTCTTATCTATAGACTGAATTTGTGGTGCAAGAAAACATATTCTTTGCAAGATTAAAATTAGATAAATTTCATTTTAACTATGTCATTCCCATATAAACTGTACAATAAATTTATTGAAATATTGTATCCAAAACAAATTGTTTCAATAAAATTCTCTTATGAATCTTATCAATTATAAACTAATTAATTGTGACTTACTATCTGTTTACCCATATTAATCATCTGTAGAAATTAATTTGAATGGTTAAAATTCTTGCTTCTTAAGGGAACAGTGTTGGGTTGCTGCCTCCCAACATCTCCTTTTATCATAATCATTTGTAGATGTGTTTTCTACAACCCTGTTATTTCCTCTCTAAGCAATAAGTGTATTTGCATGAGCTGTCTATTTTTCACATATGATTTATAATTGTGATTTATGCTATCTTACAAACTGAGGAATACAGATTTATACATGTACATGTAATAATACAAACATTTCAAGACCTGTTACAATGACATTTAACAAAGTATAGAAAGATTGAATTGTTATTGGTACATGTATATACCTCTTTTATATTCATCATATTTCTTTATTTTTTACACCAGACTCAATTGTGTCATTTTTGTTGAGCCTGCAACATTTGTAGCGAAAGCCATACATAGAGATCCTAAATTCCGTCAGTGGTGGCAGTATTAACATTAAGGTTGTAGTCTGTTGTTCAAGTTTTTTTTAGACATCAATAACTTTGTCAAACATTCATGGAATTTTAGGAAATTTGGAAAGAAGCTGGTTTATGACCAAAATACAGTATCCAGAGCAAAATTTTGAAAATATTTATTTTCATTTTCCGTATTTTACTGATAAATGGACTTTGTTTTTTTACAGTTAACAAGTAGATATAGTCTGAGGTTAAAGTTTTTCAGTCATCAATAACTTTGTCAAACCTTCATGGAATTTTATGAAATTTGGACAGAAGCTTAGTTATGACCAAAATACAGTATTCAGAGCAAAATTTTGAAAATATTTGTTTTCATTTTTCCGTATCCGATAATGGACTTAGTTTTTTATCTAAACAAATAGATACAGTCTAGGCTTAAAAATTGATACACATCAATTACTTCATCAAACCTTCATAGGATTTTATGAAACTTTCAATGGCAGCTTTTTTATGATTAAGAGATAATGTCTGAAGCAAACTTTTGAAAATATATTCATTTTCAGTATTATTCTGATGAATGGACTTAGTTTTTTTACAGTTAACATTTACAGACAGTCATGACAGTCTGGGATTAAACTTTTTTGACATGATAAATTTGTAAACCTTATATGAAACTTGGACAGAAGCTAATCTTCAAGTCCATGAAATAGCATCTAAAGAAAAGTTTGAATATTTTTTTTATTCTGCAGTTTACTGATAAATGGACTCACTCTTTAAGTCAACATTACACTTTTACACTGACTGCAGCAATCGCAGGTGAGACACAGGGTTCCGCTGAACCCCTTTCAAATTTTTATTTAAATTCTTACTTATTTTATGCGATAAAATTCTGATAATTAATATCATTGACATTTAACTAGATTTCATAATTATTTTTTTTAAATAGTTTAGAAAATGTATATATATATAGTGCCTCATAAGACAACTTTGGTTGAGTATTTGTCTTATTTTATTAATGTACGATGTATATTATATAATGTGTATATAACTTTGTGGACAAATATGTGACACTTTAATAAAATAAATTATCCTTATATAAAGAATAAGGATTTAACCGATCAGAATGAACTTTCTGACAGTTGTACTTAAAATCGTACTTCTTTTCCTTTCGTCTCTCCTTTCTCAAACCATTCTACAGTGACACTCTTAGACTCTGGATTGGTTCCACTGATTACAGCTGAATGTATTCTTCCTGTAAAAACACATCTTGTCAATGAAGAAATTCAATAAAAAAGTATGTTATGCATTTTGATAAAGAATAGTTATTTGACTCAGTACCTTTTATTTGACACTTCAATTCTTGGTATATTAGAATAAATATCACTCAATTTCTGGTAATTACCAACTGTTTTGTATTTTCAGTTAATTATTAATTTAACATTTGTGTAATCAATCATGTGTCAGTCAACAGCATAGTCATATAATTATATAATACCAAAGGCATGTCATGTGTGACAATAAACTTCATCAACTTCAAAATGTACTGTAAAACTGTTGGAATTTTATGATAATTGTCAAAACAACTGCTAGCTGATACAAATAAGAGAAATAAAATCTTAGAAGAGGAGAAAGGAAAATTTATTTCAAGACAGGTAGAAGTTATTAAAAAGTATGTTTAACCATGTTACAGGAATAATATTTTCAATTAATATTTTAAATTTCATGTATATAGACACAGACATGACATGTAAATACAGATTTTTTTGGCACTTGACAGTTTTCTGTCTAAAATCCATCGGAATACCAAATACAACTAATTTTATCAATTCTACAATTCAAAGCATTAGGTATATCCCATTCCCTCTTTAAGTCTTTAAACACATGATAGTTACATTAAACACACCATAGTTACAATACTCAAAACGGTTCACTACTAATCACATCAACCTGAAATTATAACATATAAACATACCTGAAACTCAACCAAAGAACCTATATATATAACTAGCTAGTCTGAGATGTAACAGCCTTTTTAATTAGGACATGCTAGACTCAACAATATCCTGTTGATGCCAATATTTTGCCTAAAGTTGTATTAAAATCCAATGACACATGATTGAGGCATGATGAAAAAGGCTAAATATTGTTATTTAAGAAAATAACTCCAACAAGATGACAATTTTAGTTATTTGGTTTTATCTGGCTGATCAAAATGGCATAGCTAGGTAACTTTCAAATCCAGGTCCGTTCGCCCTAGAACCTGCTCGACATGGGTCCGTTCACCCTGAGTTTTATTTTATTTTATTGTCTTGTTATAATATTATGCTACAACATATTATTGGAATAATGTATGTTCAAGTGTGTGTTGAAAATTGAGTATATCTATGTTGTATTGCTGCTACCAGATAATTATTTTCCTTTGGTTTGCACTGAAGTGAGAAGGAATGCAAGGTATTTAAAACAACTGAAGACCAAATGCAAGTTATTTGTTTTTGTTGTTGTTTTTTCCTCTTTTTTCTTTTCTTTTTACATGTTTTACCAAGTTATCTGTATGTATATAGTTTATAAAAGAATGATTGATTCCACAATCCACTTCCATATATAACAAATTTGTCACTGAAAACACACTTGAGATTAAAGGAGACAAGCTGTGAAAATAAATTTCATTACAATTTGTATATGCTTTGTTTTTACTCATTCTCAGCTTTCTTGTAACAACACCAAAGACAATTCAATTCGTTGACAATCAATGAAATCATTAAAATTAATTCCAAATAAAAAACGACTGTAACAATGATGCCAATCATTACGAGAAAACAAGCAATTAACTTTTAAATATTTCCATGTTTTGTACACGATTTTTTAATATTAATGAATTTTCTTTAATATTTTTCAAATAAATATGGGCAGAGGTACATGTATATATAAACCTTAATACCATTACTATTGATATATATATTTGTAATAGGGGGAAAGACTCTATATGGGCAAAGCAAACCTAGGGCAAACGGACCCAATACCTTAACTTTCCAGTGATATTGTTGTCTTTTTTCAAAACTACCTCGACCCTTTTATTTTGGGAAAATTAGGGAAATTGGGAATTTTTTAAAACAGTTTTTTTCACGTAACATTTTGAATTGTGAGATATTTTACGGAAAGGAACTTTTTGGGGAGGGGAAGGAAACGAAGATATTGACGGTACTTAATACATCGAAAACACTGCAATGATTCTAATAAGAAACCCCGGATCTCAAAAGCGCTTATAATATCAAAAAATTAACATGATTACGAAATTTACGTCCATTACTACCAATGCCATCACCGTTTGGGGAAAATGTATAACTTTTTGGGAGGAATTTTATGCCATTTTTTTTAGTAATTGGGAATTTTCTCTAGGCGAAAAAGCTGTATCTCGGAGGTAATTTGAGGCAAACAATATCACTGCTTTCATATTCTCAAACAAAAATAAATAAGTAAAAAGATACATGCATGTACCCCTCCTTACATTATGGTCTGAATATCAAACCCATTCTTGCAATATACATTTTGGTTTTTTGCCAATATCAAAGGTTATTCCGGGAATTTCGAGGACTTGAGGTATCAATGCTTTTCATTGGGAATATGATACACTGTATCGCTATTTGTCATCCATTTCTGGCCTTCAGGCATTCACATATTTTGTTGTCATACAAGATATGTCTGACGCAAGAATTGATTGTTGGTATGTAACCCTACTTTCAGCACCAGGGTTCTCCCTGGATCAATTTTCTTTTGCGCCAAATAAAAAAACACATTTTTCGTTAGAAATTCCTTCCAACAAAAAAATAATCAGTTTGTTACATTTTTGTCTATTATAATTCTACATATAAAAGGATAAAGACTAAAGTCAGAGATTTTTCTTACTTTTGAATATATTTCTTCATGACAACAAGTTTTGTTTTCTAAACCATTGTCAAAAGAAAAAAGTCGAGACATAAAACTATGCTTCTAACACATGCAACACTAAAATGATTGTAAAGTACCCACTTCAAAACAGTTATTTCTATTAATGTTAAGGGATAAAATTTAAAGTCAGAGATTTTTCTTACTCTAGAACATTTTTTCGTCATAAAAAGTTTTATTTTCCAGACCATCGTAAAAAGAAAAAATTCGTAAGGGTTCCGCGGAACCCAGTGTCTCGCCTACTTTTTGCTGTTAATCACAGGCTCAGCAAAAATGAGGAAAAAAAATAATAAAAATATTCCTCTCTATACTATCTTTTGATTGTAAGTAGCTTCTGTCCAAATTTGGTAAAAATCCAGGATAGTTTATGAATCTAATAAATGTTTTAAAAACTTAAACTGCAGACTGTATGTAATGTTAACTGGAAGAAAAACTAAGTCCATTTATAAGTAAAATACGGAAAAAATGGAACAAAATTTCCTTCTTGATACTAGCTTTTAATCATAAACAAGCTTCTGTCTAAGTTTGGTACAAATCCAGGATAGTTTAAGAAAGTTGTTCAAATTTTAAAAACTTTAACCACAGAGTGAATGTAATGTTAACTGGCAGAAAAACTAAGTCCATTTATAAGTAAAATACGGAAAAAATGGATTTTTTTTTTTACAAAATTTACTTCTGGATACTATCTTATGATCATAAACAAGCTTCTTTCCAAGTTTGGTAGAAATCCAGGATAGTTTAAGAAAGTTATTAAAATTTCAAAAACTTTAACCACAGAGTGAATGTAATGTTTCCTGGCAGAAAAACTAAGTCCATTTATAAGTAAAATACGGAAAAAATGGATTTTTTTTTTTACAAAATTTACTTTTGAATATTATCTTATGATCATAATCAAGCTTCTGTCCAAGTTTGGTAGAAATCCAGGATAGTTTAAGAAAGTTATTAAAATTTCAAAAACTTTAACCACAGAGTGAATATTTGTGGACGCCGCCGACGACGACGGAATGTAGGATTGCAATGTCTCGCTTTTTCGACAAAAGTCGAAGGCTCGACAAAAAGAGGAGACGTTAAAACTATGCTTCAAATGTGCGTTGCTACAACGATTGTGAAGTACCCACTTCAAAACAAATATTTCTATCAAAGTTGACTTGTAAATAAATCCTTTATGTGACATGTGATACCATTTCATTAAACAATACAATCAACACCTTTATTAATTAGTCCATTGTTCAATTTGTTGTCGAAAGCTATAAAATGCAATCAGCTGATTATTGATTTCTTTCAAAATCGTAACAAGTTCAATGTGAATTCCCAATTGTCTGATCAGTGAAAAAGTACGAAAAACCTAAAAAAAAAAAAGTAGACAAGATGGACGAAGTCGAACAGTTATATTTCTTTCACCATATATGAATTTTAATCGCTACATCTTTTTTTTTTTGCAAAATGCGAAAATGGCGAACCGTCAGCATAAACCCTGTTCAGCACTCTTGGCTATATGGTGGCCGCATGTTTTAATGGTGGAGAAAGCTAGAGTACTTGGAGAGAGAGCCTACGACCTTTCAGTTAGAGACGCAACAATAAGAAAAAAATACGGGAAACAATCATTTCCTGCAACTGTGACAATCACAATTTCTCATTAAGGATTATCGTCTGCATTGGGTTCATAGACTACCTAAAGTGTTATCATGTTAATACAAATCCCTTCTGTAAAAATAAAATTGTTATAAATTGTGATGTTAAAACATGCATATCCAAATAAAATGCATTACTGAGCCGAGTTGAAAAATTAACACATACCATACACGCACATTTTAAACTCGGTTAAGTTAGAATAAAGTGTCAACTTAGCGACTAATTAAATCTTTAAATTTCAAAAAATTGAATTTTTATAATCTTGATTAAGTTTACAAAAGTTTTTGTGACCAGGACCAGTCATAAATAGTTATTTATTAGCAACCGATTTGGGTCATATTATATTGATTGTTTACCGTCAGTTCTCTGGATGTCGACATTTACACCGACTTTCAGTTTTCCCATTTCATCCATGGCTAGTTCAAGCTCATATATTATCCAAGAAAGATTTTAAATTAAATCAAAATTTCATATTTTTTCAGGTCATCCGTTAAAAAATTTGAAAGGCATGTACGCATGCGCATTGTTTTGGTACCAAACACATATCCGGTAAAGGCATGAACAGAACGGTTGGTCTCCGGCTATCCTCTACGTATCGATGTTAGAGAAAACCAATACAGAACAAAAACGGACAAATAGTGGAAAGAGATAACCACTGATCGTTTAAACATATCTTATTGTTCAAAAGGACAATTGGATCAACTAAGTAACGTCTTCACCAAATGGCTTCATATAAAACTTATTTTATGTTAATTCTGATGAAAATGGGAGGTTTTTTCACCTTTCATTTGACATCCATTTGCCCAGATACCTTCAAAAAGAAAGAAAAAATAAATAAATACTGTAACATGCAACCTGGCCATTTTCTCACAAGAATCAGAGATCGTGATACATCTGCAAGAATACTATTCAAATGAATTGTTCACATTGAAAGTGGTTTATTCGTATGTCAACATACAAGTCTTCATGTATTTTTCATTGTAGAAGTCTAAAGTTTGCATTTGGCTACTCACATGTCAGAACCAAATGCTTAAGACATACATGTTTTATTAGAATTGGATTTCAGATTCAAGAGTTTAAATTTGAATATTATTTGATCATTGTGTAAACTTGAGACCGAAGGCGAAACTATGATATACCATAGGGACATCCATGATGAAACTCATAAGTTGAAAATAAACTGACAACGTGTTAGTTATTAAACAAATAATTAATTTGAAATATTTGATACATCCTTTACGCTTTGAGAACAATCAAATAATTACTGAAATGAAATGACAAGTGACGAAGTTGTCTTGAGCTTGGATGTCGAGTAATGAACTCACAATGTCTCAAGCCATTGACTTAATTACTCTTGATAAAAACATATAAAGCTTTGTATCGCATGGTGTCATTAAACATATGCGGATATATATATATATATATATATCAGTTTGAAAGAGAAAGAATAGAAGTCGATAAATTTGAGTGGATTAATACCGTCATTCAAGGTTTGTTTGAATGGTATGAACACATTTAGAAAACAAAAAAAATAGTAGATGACTTTTTTTTCATCGTTATAATTAATAACACAATTTACTGTAGAACTCAACAGTCAATCAATTTTTTTTTCTCGGTTTGTATTTTCGGTATTCCACACATAATAACACAATAAGGGAAAGATTGCCAATGGCTGTAACTGACAAGGCAGTGCCCACAAGTAAAATGAGAGGACACATTAATATTGGGTAGTTTTAAGCGAGACATCTAGCTCATGACATCAATAGCTCATGGAAAACTGGGAAGTCACCATTCACATAAGAAACAGCGTTTTTATTCTTGTTCTTCATGCTTATTAAACAGCTACTGGAATATTAAAGTTCGAACTACTCACATATCCAAGCGACTACTTAGGCGTCGATATTTACCGATACTTTAACTGCTGTATGCCTGTACCAAGTCAGGAATATGACAGTTGTTTTCCGTTCGTTTGATGTGTTTGAGCTTTTGATTTTGCTATTTGATTTAGGACTTAATTTCCGTTTTGAATTTTCCTTGGAGTTCGGTATTTTTGTTATTTTACTTTCAACCACATTAGAAAATGCATTAGCGGGAGCATCAAGAGACTTTAATTGTCGAATGCGCGTCTGGTGCAATAACATTGGTAACATTGATGTTTTATTCAGCTACACATAGATATAGGAAGATGTAGTATGAGTGCCAATGAGACAACTCTCCATCCAAGTTACAATTTATAAAAGTAAACCATTATAGGTCAAGGTACGGCCTTCAACACGGAGCATACATGTTTAGAATATACATATGCGTAAATATAAATAATCCGGCTTCACATGAAATTGATAAATCCATTGTTATTTAACAAAAGTGCTATGAATATAAACACGTTATTTTTTAAAACATTTTACCTTACTGTCTATGTATCTTTGTTTACAGTAAATAAAGAATGGAACCACAAGAAGCGAAGAAACGGAATACCACAGGGAAACGAGAAAATTCTTATTCTGCCGATGTTTATACTCCGGCCAAAAGGCACAGGAAAGACCAACAAGAACAAAACCGACATCACAGACATGAAAGGTCAGAAGGACGAAACAGCTGGGCAGGCTTTGAAGACAATCAAATCTCTGGGAGAACAGAAAGATTTAACAGTTGGTCAGCCTATGCAGACAATCAGGCATCTACAAATACAAAAAGACATGACAGCTGGTCATTCGGTGAAGACAGTCATACACTTAAAAGACGCGACAGCTGCCCATCCATTAAAAACAACCATAGTACTAAGAATACAGAAACAGATGACAACTGGTCAACACGTCAAGACAAACAGTCACCTAGAAGTACAGAAAGACATGGTAGCTTGTCTGCCAGCAAAGACAAACAGTCACGTAGAAGTTCAGAAATACATGGCAGTTGGTCTGCCAGCAAAAATAGTCAGTCACTTAGAAGAGCAGAAAGAGGTGACAGCTGGTCAGCAAGTAAATATAAAGACACACGTAGAAGTCCCAGAAAATTTTGCAGCTGGTCATCTAGTAAAGACAAACATACACGTAGAAATTCAGGAGGACATGACAGTTGGTCAGCTAGAATAGACATTCAGCCACCTAAGAAGACAGAAAGATGTGTCCACAACTGGTCAGACAACAAATGGAACCCGGCAAGTAGGAGAACATCAGAACGTAGTAGCTGGCCAACCAGCAAAGACAACCAGACACCAAGGAGATATGACACAGCGAATGACACTGAATTTGAATTCTTTTGGAAATCACACTCTCCGTACAGTCAGTGGTATCTAAGTAATTTCACAGTCGATGGAATCACGTTTAATTGCACAGAACAATACATGATGTACAGTAAAGCAAGTAAGGAAAAACTACCATAAATAATTACGTTAATTACCCATATGTCCATGATTTTGGCAGAGGCCAACATACTATAATATTTTGAATCTTCGTGTGCTTAAACCCTTTTAATACATTAATCAGACAGTTTCCTGCAGATGAACAAATCTTTCTATAGGATATTTTCACCTTTTCGTAAGTACATCTCGAAAACCTTTTAATGTAAACATTTTTTTAGTTTAAAAGATTGTAAATCACACGAAAGAAAATATGTTATAAGATAGTACTATAAAAATCCTTGGGTATTGATATGTATTATTTTGCAAATTAAATGTTTTGAACTGATCAATAAAAGCTTTATTTCAGTTTTGTTCAAAGATAAAGACACAGCATCTAAGATTCTAGCAGAACACGATCCCCGTGAACATAAGAAACTGGGTCGTAAGGTGAAAAACTTCGACCAGCACACATGGGACGACAACTGTATGGATATAGTTATATGTGGGAACATAGCCAAGGTATAGTTTATTGTTTAGAGATCTGGTTAAGCACTACCAAACATTCTCAACTGCCGCATAAGATGAATTTTATTAACGTGCATAAACTAAAGCGAACCATTACATTATTTACACAAACTCCATTTTAATTGATCGTGTACTGGTATCCTTTTTTGGTATTATTCTAGTTATCCAGGATTTTGAGGATTACTGTTATCTGTTTTTAAACTATTCTAGTTATCCAGGGTTTTGAGGATTACTGTTATCTGTTTTTATACTATTCTAGTTATCCAGGGTTTTGAGGACTGTTATCTGTTTTTATACTATTCTAGTTATCCAGAATTTTTGGGATTACTTTTGATCTTATTTGGTATACTATTCTAGCTATCAAATATCTTGTCATATTTACTTTGATAGTAATTTATAAATGATCGATTTACAGCATTATACTTTTTTTACTTACAGTTCGAACAGAACAAAGACCTAATGAGAACTATTTTAAAAACGTTCCCTAAAACACTAGCCGAGGCCAGTCCATTTGATAGGATATGGGGTATAGGACTATCAGCTGACGACCCTAGAGCTTTAAATAAGGAAACTTGGAAAGGAAAGAACTTACTTGGACATGCTCTGACAAAAATCCGAGATCGGTTTATGGAAAAGAGGGAGAAGGGAAAACAACAGAAAAAAGAACAGACGAAAAACACCGAAACAGAAAGAATAAGGAAGAAGAAAAGAGAATTAGACACTAATTTTACAATTTAAGTGGTCAATTTCATTGTATTTATATTGTCTGCAAATGCATGTGTTGTCACATAGTTTAAAATGTTGTGCTTGAATTATACATACACAATACAATGTCTTAAGAAAATGATATTCTTATTTATTTTTATACTTCGAAACAGTTGCGTTTTTGCGACATGAATTTTCCTAATCTAGACTTAGTATATAAACCTACGATAGACATCTTATAGAATCTGAATTTTTTCTACAAATGTTGATAAAATAGCCATCTTTGTTTCCAACCCTATTTAATCAAGAAGCACTAACACTTACTAAGGAACTCTTCCAACAAGTGTACAAAATGTTAAACTAATCATGAATGAAAAAAAAATATATTCTTTTTTGACAGATATATTTCCGTGAAACTATTTATTACAATTTTTAAAACCCGAGAGCTAACATCACTTTGTGCATGTCTTTCATTCTATCAGGACCATGCGTTCCCCGTTGTTTTATGTAATTGTTTTGGACGTTTTTTTTGGAAGTTGTTTTTTGTGTTAGACAGTCCAATGTTTCTGGAAGTTCATGTTATCCTTTTTATGTTTTATAGAAACACATATTGTGGTATACAACTCAATACATATATTAAATTTCCTCTATATACAAAAAACAAACAAAAAGGGACGACAATTTCTGTCTGTGAATGCCATGACCTCTTCCAATAACTAGGACAACAGATACTTCAGTTCGTTAAATTTTAAGGAGGAGAAGGCAGATACAAGGTTATACCAACTAACATCGACGGAGAAGTGACAGCATACATATCAATGTATCGATTCAGGCTTTTAAAATCCACCGCAATTTTTATCAAATGAAGATCAACATTTAGTGTAAACGAGGATTCGTATGAGTATTCAGGGCAGCAGTCGATGGTTACACATTTCGAACCTTGTAAACCCAAA